TCCCGGGTCTCGCACCTCTGATATTTTCATGTGCGAATCATTTCCAACATGATTACCACTTGTCTCACGGTGAAGGAAAACATCGTGAGGAAACCTGCATGTCTAAGAAAACCTAGCAAGTTTTCGAAAGACGTGTGAAGTCCGCCAACACTCACTTGGCCAGTGTGGTGGACTGTGGCCTGATCTCCCTCGTATTGAAGGGAGATCTCCTGCAGTGGGACGTCAAAACAAGGTCTGAATACATACATATACACATTTATTTTATTTATACGTTTATTCATTTATTTGCTTTATTAATCACAATAGAACGAAAGTTTGTATGTGCGTTTGTTATTCCTATACGCTAAAACGGCTGAATGAATTTGAATGTTAGTACATGATAGATAATGGTCTGGAGTAATATATGTCACGGTCTTATATGTGTAATGGTCTTATAATATTGTGAATTATAAATAAAAAAGGACGCACGAGGAAACGAGGGAAGTGAGGTTGAGTCGCTAATAGTTACATATCATAATTAAACTTTGAACGTTTTTTACTTACAGCTTTACGATTTGTTCAGTTTACACAAATTACACAGCGAAGACTTCAATAAAATTTTCTTCATCGCAAACCTAATAGTATAACTTAAAGTATGAATCAATCGTATTTTAATAGGTCAAATGCTACAGCTTTCGATTGATGTTTCGATTTAGTTGAAAACGATTTCATTTTTGATTTAGCCCAACAATACTGTAAACTAAAAATCTTATAACGATCTCTGGTACATTTATTGAATAGTTGTAACCTAATTTCGAAGCTTCATCTAGATAAATATTTGAGTCGAACATTCACAATTTGCAATTCATTTTACTCTATTTTATCAAATAACTTGTTTTTGCAGGGGTCTTCCCTCGCATGGTAATCGGGACGAGGATATTATATTATATAATATACTAGCGACATACCCTCGCTTCGCTCGAGTTCGTCCCTACTTACGTTTTTATTTATTTATTTTATATGCACACTTACAATATACATATTTAACGTTTAGTATAGCTTTCTCAAAAATGAGATAATTTCCCGCAGTAAATAGTATCCTATATGTTGACCCGGATAACCAGCTATCACCATACAAAATTTCATCTAAATCTGTCTAATAGTTTTCTCATGAAGCGGTAACAGACAGACAAACAAAATTCTAAAAACTATATATTCGGCCTCTGTATCGATAATAATAACTATTTCAATAAGATTTTCCAAAAAATATTGAATGTACAGATTCGGCTTTTTGATTTTAAATTTTTGGAATTTTGGAATCCTTTTGGAATTTTATTATAGGTATGTATAGATTACTCGTCCCATCCCGATTCTACCACCCGTTGAAATCTATTCAATAGATTAGAATTAGAACATAAAATGGTAAGAAATAGACTGACAGGGTTATTTTCATATTTATAATATAAATATAAGTAGTTTAGCCAGGCTCTTTTTAGGGATTGAATTACCAAAAATGCTTTCTTAGCGGACACCCGCTCCCTATGCCTTTATATATATGTACTTTCTGTCGTGATTAATCAATGAGTGGTATTCGCTACCTATAGATGAGACGAAGAAAACTCATATATACCTATTTACTAGATTTTATTTAGACCTTAAAATGTCTGCTAAGAAATTTCCAATAACAAGTTTTCTATTCTATAGTTTTCATATCTTAAAATGAAATAGGTACTTGTAGTACATTATATAAAGCTTGTTGTTGTTGAACGTCTATATAAGACTCCTTTCTTGTGAAAGGCATAGAAATATATTACAAAGTATAAGATTTTTGTCCCTGTGCTTATTACAGGAATTGTTACTTTAGACGTCGTTTATACACTGTTTTGTGGCATGGTTGTGCTGTATTTCAATTGAAGTCAGAAAATCGATTCCTGCTTGGCGTAAATATTTGCATTAAAAACCCTTTTTCTAATCTATGACTTTAAAACTTGGGAATCGTGTTGAAATATTTGTAATTATTTGTGTTGAATTATAAATATTTATGCAATAAATGAGTTTAAAAGCTCCTGTCTTAGCTTCGGTGTGTTTAATACATTTTGTATTCCTGTAATACTACTCTGGTGGGGCAACGCACGGGCACTTGATAGCGCCAACTTCCCAACTCCGGGTTATTGCTGAGAATTTCTTAAAACAATCGATAAATAAACTGGACGAAAAGAGACTTGAACCCGGTCCTTTGGAACTTCATGCGTACATGTTAACTACTAGACCACCGAGGCAGTTGATATTGATACAATACTGTATACAACGTTATTTAAAGTATGTAATAATAATTTATCCATACTTTTTCCACGTATTTTTTCGAAGTATGTCACTATCAAATGTCACTAAAGGCTGGCTCAATATATCGGAATAAAATTATCAATGCCACTCTTAAACCCACACTTTCTGCTTCAGTGAAAAAAGGTCAAATGGATAAATTAACAGATATAATAGTATTTTAAATAAAACTATGTTTTCAGCATTCGGATTATTTCGCGGATTTATTAAAAAACGCGAAATATTCCGAAAACATATTTTTATTTAAAATGTCAAATATTCGCGTAAATCTAAGAAAGTATTATTAGATATACTAGTATTTATAATGTTATCGTATCGATGAATTTACAAACTTTGTGTTTCTTGAGAATGTTATAGAAATAAATTAAAATACCTAAAAATAATAATAGCTTTAGTTAGGGAGGTGTTTTTCAATTAAATTCTCAATAACTGATAATCTCCTGTTATTCTCCTTATCCTGACTCCTTATAAAATCAATACAATACTGAATTTCAAGACTTAGATCTATCAAAATATAAAATATATATATAAAATAGAAAATAAAAAAATAGATAAATCCTATACAGTATTTAATACATATTTTTCCTAAAATACACATTTATACTAACACCCGTAACTACTTCGTCAAACTTTGCAACGCTACAATGGTATTTTAAATATACCTATAGGATTTTTGGTATACTTCAATTGGTCTGTACAACACACACGAAGTGGAAAAGTTAGAAGCAAAACGCTCCGATAAATACGAGAGCTTGCCAACATATGATCCAGGCAAAATCCGAAGTACATGTAAGAGCTTCCTTTTAGCTTTATTGCATAACAGACTATTCAAATCACGTTTACAAGAATTCCTTTATTTTCTACTCCAATATAATACTAGTACAACCAGATATGAAAGAAAAGTTGGTTGCTAATTATGTCATGAAACTACAAAATCTATAAAGTAGCTATTTATTTACTTTGGGAATAATACACATAACACTTACATGAGTGTATTTTGAAGTGAAAACTTCTTTAGACGCGTTGAGCGATATTTGGTAAGAGCAAAACTTATGTGTTCGCGTCACCGACATGCTACGTGTGTACATGTGACGTGTCCATGCAGTCTGTTCAGCATCATATGTTTTGCTTAATAAATAAACTATATCAAAATATAAATAATAATTGCTCGGAGTGGCAATGAATGTGAATACCATACTAATAATAATTTCAATTTACAAATTATGAAATTTTAACTATTCATACTATAATTATTTAAAAATTAAAAAAAAACACAGTTATTCCAAAGTTATTAGTTTTCACTTCTGTCGGTAGTAGGTGTGAAATGTATGTATATCCTATTCATCAACTAAAGTAAAAAAAAGCTTACAATATTTGGCTAAGATATCGAGTAACATACATAAAACGTATTTGAATTGAGTACTCTTCCTCTTTTAGCGTCAAAAATAACGCAAACATTGTAGAAACAACTTGTAGTTAAGACATTGACAAAATACAGAAAAATGCGTGGATTATTTTATACATTTTAATCTTGATACAGAGTTTTCCGAGAGACTTTTTGTTGCTTTATTATAAACCTTACACTATAAAGTCGCTAGACCGATACTGATCTGAGCTATTCTTGTAAACTTGCAGTAGCAATGTATGTAACTACTAAGTAAGGTTATAAGTACTAAATAAATATATTACTAGCGACTCACCCTCGCTTCGTTCGGGTTCGTCCCTAGGTTGCTTCTCCATACAAACTTTCATCCCCATTTTCACCCCCTTAAGGCATGATTTCCGGGATAAAAAGTGTCCTTCCCAGGGTCTCAAACTATCTTTTTACCAAACATCTAAATCAGTTCAGTGGATCCAAAGATTATCCCCTACAACCTCACAAACTCACAAACTTTATTTCTATAATATTATAAGGGTTTCAGTATGATCATATAACCTCCCCGTACTGCGTTCACCATGTAGTTGTAGAGCTACGTTAACAAAAATCATGTATGTCGCTGTATCCACATCTGCTGTTGTACCCTAATCAGTTTATATATTGTTTTAAATTATCAGATAATAGAACTTTAGCTTTGAGTTTTTTTTATGTCAACTTGATTATCTGTTTTTATACAGGTTCCTATGTTGAATTGTATTTGCTTTGTTTTTCTTAATGCTAGTGTTTATGTAATTACTGTCAGTAGTAACTTAGCTGATGTATGTATTTTTGTATGTTAGTTTACACACATAATAAAATTGTAACTAAGCCGAATCTGTACATCAAATATTTTTTGTAAAATCTTATTGAAATATACATTATTATCGATACAGAGGCCGAATCTATAGTTTTTAGAATTTTTGTCTGTCTGTCTGTCTGTTACCGCATCACAGAAAAACCACTGGAGGGATTATGATGGCAGATATGGTGATAGCTGGTTATCCAGGTCAACATATAGGATACTTTAGACCACGGGAAAATATCTCATTTCTGAGAAAAAATACAAAAACTGGAATGTAAGAGTATACTAATATATAAAACCTAAGAATTTGGCTTTTGGTCAGCTGAATGCAAGCGGAGCCGCGGGCAATGCTAGTGAATAATAAATAAATAAATGTACGATAATAAAATTATCATATATACCTGCCTACAAACTCACCAATATTAGTTGCAAGTCAACATAGCCTATAACAATTTATTTTTATTTACCAAAATTCAGGTCAAATTTCAATTTTGATCTAACTTCATATGAAAAGTGAAGGACGATTGTGTCGAAACTATCACTACGGCGCGGCGTAACGTTAATTACACCAGACACTTTGTCACGCCATTTGGCGATGACACACCGCTTTGTAACCGACACTGGACTACCCATATAAAAATATATCATGTTATTATTAGGTTTACAAACACCATCATAAAGGTATTTAGTTTTTTGATAAATTATTATTTATTTATACATGAAACGATATGTACTACTTTTTGGAGATGGATATCTCTTCACTTTATTTATCTATACTACTATTATAAACAGGTAAAATTTGTGAGTTTGTGACGTTGTAATCTCTTGATCAACTGAACCGATTTAGATAAAATTTGTTAAGATGATAGTTTGAAATCCTGGAAAGGACATAGGATACTTTTTATCCCGGAAGTCATCCCTTAAGGGGGTGAAAATGGGGATGAAAGTCTGTATGAAGAACCAACCTTTTTTTTTTAACGTTGGGAAATGCATTTACGCACGAGGTGTGGGACTCACCGGCAAAGCCAGTACTACCCACTAAAACCCAACAAAGCCTTCCCCCGTCTTAATGGGGCGTCGCAGGATCGCTTACGCATTCAACTACGACGCCCCGACGGCAGGTCTGCCAAAACAGACCACAACAACCACGGGGTTGCTCCAAGGTCCACTCTGCTATCAGAGAAGTACCAGGAGCAACCCACATGGTACACCGCCCTCCGAAGAGGGCCACCTCCCACCGCCCACCGAAGTGGGCCACCTCCCTGTGCGTTTCTTGGCTTCGCGCCCGGTTGGGTGGCCGGGCACTACTGAGCCCCCCCACCACGAATAAAGAACCAACCTAGTGAGGAACCCGAGCGAAGCGAGGGTGAGTCGTTAGTATCAAAAATAAACTGTCTCCCGTATCTCTCTCCCGTGGCTATGATCGCTGTAAACTTTACATTGTAAAGCAATCGAAATAAGTTCAAGTTTCGTGTAAAGTATACGAAAAATCGGGAATCAAAAAACAAAATAAATCCGTGAAAAAAATCAAAAAGATAATTTTATTTAAAATGTCAAATATTGGCGTAAATCTAAGAAAGTATTATATTAAGTAAACTTAAATTAGTTCCCCAATATATTCAATTGCTAACTTAAATAACTTACTAGTAACTTAAATTAGTTCAAATGAAAATAAAATATGATTTTTTGAAACATTTGAATCGTTAATTTTTATCGTTTTTGCTGTCATTTCCACAGCTAGTAATATAATATCTTCTTTAAGAAGTATAAAAATATCCACAATTCTCAACTATTTGTCACCGGCATCTGAAAAGTCATCTACATACCAAAAAAAAACATTGGAACAACATATGTATGTTGGGGATATCCCCAGAAACGAATATTATAAAGATTGGAAATATTTTCGTATATTTTTCTAACAACTATAATGGAAAATTTGGGTACAGCGTCAAAACTATCACATTCGCGTGACATCAATTTTAATTATGCGTGTATTTCTGTCACGCTACGACAGTGATGTTACATTTTGTGCTAAATTAAGCACTTGTAGTTCGTCAATAGAATTATTATGTAGGTTTTTATTGATATACAACTCTATGTACATATGTATTCATTTTTTTTAACGTCACTGCTACACGGACTTTCCTTTAATGCTAAGCTGTTCGAACCATAGTCTACCAAACATAATTTTCTTTCATAGTTAATTTCAGGCTTTAAACTTAGTTTATCTTTGGCTTGGATTGGCTATCATATTAATATTTCAGAATCCTGGATCTCGCACCTCTGACATTTTCATGTGCTAATCATTTTAACATATCTTATGATGAAAGAAAACTTCTTATAGGTTACATGTCTGAGAGAACCTTAAGACATATGAACCCAATTCGCACTTTGACCGCCAGCATGGTGTACTGTTTCCCTTCCTATTTTGCCCATGCCCAGCAGTGGGAAGTTAAAAAGAGTTGAATACATCTAATTTCACAGTTTATTTAATTATAATAATACAATAAAAAAAATGTCGTTTCACTTACCTGAAACTCTGCTAACTGGATGAGTAACAGGCGCGGCCGCAGTCGTCGCAGTGTTCGGTGGATATATCGGATCGCAGCATTCTCTCTCCGGGAACTCACTTCCATTCACCATCACCAGCCCAACAAAAAACACCACCCACCCTTTCATCACCAGAATTTGCACCCTAGACACCCTTGAATTGTGATTTATCCCCACTCTCGGCACATTATCCTTCCATACTTGTATAATCCCATGTTTAGCAGTCATCTGTGCCACATACTCCTTTTACTTATCACTATGATATGTTATTTACATTTTCTTGCACATAATTGACTTTTGCATGGAACGTTTGTATATTCAATCGTTTTTATGATTTAAATATTCTAGAAGTATATCAAAAAATGTTAAACTAAAAAGCAATGGTACCATTCAAACAAATAGTGGTAATATTCATTTAATAAGCAGTGGTAAAGACGTAATAATAGTGAAATTTATAAGTATTTTATTGTAGGCAATATGGGTTATTACCATCATTTAAAAGGCTTATAAAAAGAAAAGGGAAAAGAAAGCTTATTTTTAAAGCATGCGAAACCGCGGGAATATACTTATCAATAACAAAAATAATATTTATAAAACAACAAAATATTTGAAATGCAAATTAGCGTGGTTATAGGAATTATTTTGTGTAAATAAGTTATGATAATATACTATAACAGGCCACAGGCATGAATAAAATACAGTATAAATGATTAATGAATATTTATAATAATATTAAAAAGCTCAATAATTGTGGCTTGGACCGTGAAAATGTGTACTGAGTGAGTTATACCTATTATATTTTTTTAAATCCTAATAGATAATAGATTTCATCGCAATGGTAGTAGTGATTTTGATGAATAAAACTTTAGCAGTTTTAACGTACGTAACGTAAGACTATTTACGTTTAAACTTAAGGCAACTATTTATTTAACACTTCATTATATATAACGTATATTATCAAATTAAAATGCTCCGAACTTCATCATCCTAAGAACAGATACAGGGGTTTTATACATGTCATCGTGTACGGTTTGATTCTTCAACAGATCACACCACTGAGCTTAAGGGAGTACAATTTGAAATGTATATATTTTTAATTTAATGTGGATAAACACTAAGAATAATATTTGCGCTTCAATATAAAGCAGTGAAAAGACGTAGCTAAGTTTGTAGGGAAAATAACTAATCAATTTAAGACCAGAGAGACTATTATTATGTATTAAATACAATTACATCACATAAATATATGTGCAACGTCGAAACCCTACTACATATTATACTAGATGGGAAGTCTTACATAACTACGTCGCGATATATTATTACCGACGCCTCCTGTTAATATAGAGGACATTAAAGAAATTGAATTCGTAATACGCCATTTAACTTTTTGGTGGAAATCTCGACGCGTATTACTTTTGTTTTTTAAACTTGGGCTATTTAAGCGGAATTTCATTAAAAGGCGTACAATTATGGACTTTTCTCATTTATTTTCGTAAATTCCGTCCAAACCATTTGTTAACCTTAACATTAATTTTAATTGAACGCACCATTATTTTGAGTATTCTTTATGACATCTACTTTGGTAAGTGTAAGCAAAAAGAATTACATAATTTTTATACCTTAGACGTAATCGAACCCGTTATTTTAAATGAAGACTTTATATATAAAAAATTAAAAGTATCTGCCATTTTTCACATAATATCACAAGGCCGAAAGAAATAAAGTAAACAAAAAAAAACAGCCACATAAGGTAATAGATCATTATTGGTAGGTACCTACTAAAATTTTGTAAACTCTGCTATCTCAAAATACATAATACAAACTTATTACATAATGGCCGATTTTTCAATAGTATAATTACGAAACTTATATGCAACACAATAGGTCATTCTAAATTACTTAGAGTATTTTGAAAAGCCAAAATTCCTTTGTTGGATCTATTTTTTTTTTCTTTTATTTATTTTACACAAATTCACAACAAATCGGTCCATATAACGCCATCTAATGGCTTTTTATTGAAATAATTTTCCTTTGTTCCTAATGTAACCCCATTATAATAGGTAGACATTATACATAATTATATTATGGTAATAGGTACATATTATATTATTATAATACTTTCTTAATACAGGCCCTACTTAGATGATTAAATTCCTAATAATTTAACACATTAAATTATTATAAGTTAAAGACTTATCTCTTATTAGACTAAAAGCAAATTTTGTTGAACTATTTCGGCCGGGATTTGCTTTAACAGGTTCCATTATTACTTTATCTCGCCAAATATTAATTTAATGTTCAAATCTGTAGACGGCACTTATCTATTTGTTACGAAAGTCACAAAGTTCAAGTCAAAAAAAAATCTTGTCGAAATATATTTTCTTAGATATACGTAATTATTATGTATAAAATAACTATAATGATAGATAAAAATAAGATAATCAAAGCTTTTGATCAAACGTTCGATAAATGGATTTGACTATTAAAATACGACCTCATTTAGTGAATATTTTAAATATACCATTTATAAAAAAAAAACATTTTTTATATAGCTCTTATAGCAATTTAACATTTATGTAATTTACCTGTAAAGCATTTCATAAATCAATAAACATAAAAGGCCACCGCTGCTTTCCCGCCACTGAAGTATAAATAAAAAATGGCCGACTTCCGGATAAGGCACGCACTAACCCTTCTAGGTAAAAGCAATAAACAAATTATCCCAAGGCCTTACGTTAGAATTTTATAGTTACTTAGAATTATTAATTAAAAATAGTTATTTATATGAATAAAATCATAAGTAATTATCTCTAATTAAACATTAGTTCGTGCATCACGCAAAAAAATATTTTGAAATAAAATCTATAATGAAATTAGTATTAATAAACTACTGTACCAATTTAGTAGTCTTTGCTTATACAATCACAGAATACAAAAACAAATTTATGTAGATAAGTTTATGGGATTACGAAACGTAATGAAAAGAGCTTTAAGATTTTACTGTCAAGAGAAGCTCCGTAACTTTTAGGCTTGTGAAGCTGGCATTTGTGTGCCTATTTCTCTCCGGTCCTGTCAGTTTGCTGTCCAATTGGATTTTCTCTTACTTTCTCTCTCTGTTCCTCTATATAATTCTATCTCCCTCTAATATAGCTGATCGAATCTCTTTTAGAGAGATAAATCCACCCACACTTTCTATATTATCATAGTAAATATTTTTAAAGTCAAATAAAGAATATTGTATTATTGTATAAGAATGAAGAATATTAGCTAATAAAATCGCAATTTGTTTGTAAATTTTAAACGGTGATCTAATTTGACAAGTTTTTTAATATACTTAGTACCAATATTGTGTTATTATAAAAAAAAGCTATACAATTTAGTACAATATCATACAAGACTTTCAAATCTTTTATTGCCTAATCGACTCGGCCTTCCTCAACATATATATTTTGGATAAAATAATATTATTTTCGTCCCTTTAATCACAATTTACTAGAACCATAATATTATTTTTTACATTACTCACTTTATTTAACATGCAACTCTTAAATATTTTCTACTAGCGGCTGACGGCTCACTCTCACTTCGCTCAGGTTTGCCTCTAGGAAAACAAAAACAAACCTATCCCACGGGAGCCGTATTTTTTCCGGGATAAATTGTAGACAATGTGTTATTCCAGACTATAATCTATCTCTGTGCCACATTTCAGCCAGATCCGTCCAGCCGTTCTGGCGTGAAAGAGTAACAAACATCCATACTCACAAACTTTCACATTTATAATATTTATACATACAGATTTCTATCGAACATATTTAAATAACTTTTTGTCTTAACAATCTAAGAAATAAAATACTACAGCATTCTTAAAGGCATAATAGGATGGGCATTGTAAATTGTCCTCAAAAACATTAACTATTTAACCTATGTACAGACACGTTTTGAGGCAGTTTTCTTGACAGTCATTAAAAGATACTGCCAACAATAGCTCCATGCTAATGAGCTGTTTACCTTCATTTAGCTGAGCTCGTCAGACCTGTCCCGAAAATCTATTAAAATTAAAAGAACGTATATCCATCACAGCCTTGACATATAAACATTGGGACTATTTTGATTTGAGACTGATAAAACGTTTATGTATACATACTTAATATTATAAATGTAAAAGTGTGTTTGTTTGTTTGTGTGTCCTTTCTTTAGCGTTAAAACAGAGTGACCGATTGACGTGATTTTAATACAACCCAAAAAATATATATGATCAGAATTACTTGAAACTTGCTCTTCAATACAATTAAATAAATACGTGTTTTAGCATTTTCGTAATTCATCCCATAAGAGGGTATAATAGGGTATGAAAATTTGTATGAAATCTACCTTTTCAGGGTTTTTTTAAAGTCGTGGGTTCTGCTAGTTATTTTATACTTAACAAGCAGTTCAATAATAATTTGGGCTCATTAAACTGGAGCAAAATTATCCTATCCATATCGTATTCACTAATTTTAATAAAATGGAGCGATTAACGCCTACATATCTTTAACCACGTATTTTAATGTCCTATTAACTTTTATAATTTTATTATAAATTTTCTAAATTATAAACACATTGCCAAATAAAATAAATATTCTATTTATGAGAAAGAGTTTCTTATTTTTTGGACGGACAAATATGGATTTTTAAAAAGGTTAATAATATTTTAAAATTAGAATTAGGGGAAGCTGGAGATCCTTCAGATAGATAATTGCTGTATAGAAAAGAACTCATAATTCAAAAAAACTACATTATTTTGGTTTAAAATATATTATTTTATCTACTTTGTTTACTGAATAATTAAATTTGGCACGTAAGATGATTTTTTAAAATTCTTTTTAAGGTCTAAACAAAATCAAAGTTGTTTATATGTATAGATGTCGCGTATGCAAGAATTGAATTGACGACCTTACCACAACAATGCGGCCGACATACCCCACGTTATGTTTGAAAATATAATAAAATCTAAAACAAAACAAATCGGCAATCAATAGTAGACTATACCGAATAGATTGTTACTACATATTGGAAACATAAATGTTGATAAAAAACGAGTGGGTAAAAAGGTTTAACCCCACTGATTTATACGTTCTATCTACAAAGGAAAAAAATGTCTTGAAGTCAAGGTCTATACTCTAAAATTACTTTACTTTTAAGCTAAAAAATAGCTTTTATTACATTATATTTTAGGTATTTATCTGCAT